TTCTATCTTACCCATGCATGAGGGTCCGAGACAAGGTCTTGTGACATCCAGACAGGGTTGGAGGGCTGCGTCCTGCTACACATGAAATTGATTAGCTGTGGATTGACTCTTGAGAATTAACGCAATGTAAAGTCGTTATTGCCGTGTATTAGTAAGTCAGTTTGTTGAATAAATTGTTATTTTTGCAAAAGTGTCTTTCCATCAACAACCTTAGAAGGGTAACTGTTATATTGTTCGCTACAGCTACTTCTAAAGTCTTGAATTTAACCGTTTTAACTCTGGGATAAAGCCCAACAGCCTCAAACACTAAATACTAAATATTTGGTGTGAGAATCCATTTGTTACCCCCTCAAAATTGCTTATGCAATTGAAGAGCTAACGACCCAAGTGATTGGACCTCTGCGTTTGCTGTCGCCTTTCCTAGTTGAGTAATTTTCACATATGGCACCCACTCTGCGGCTAGTTAGTGTTGCTTCTACTAGACATACTACCACATCTGGCGCCCAACGTGGGGCCTCTAAGTGTGACTAAGATTACCCAATTAAGGGACACACTCACAATATTATATTGCACTTATATGCTGGCGCTAAAATTCAAAACTAGGGAATCTTTGTTGTGACAAAAGCCCGTTACGTTGTGCTGTATTTATAATAAAGGTGATGTTTAAAATAATGTTCACTTTGATGGGTTGAGAGGAATTCTCAAACTGCTATATACAGCAGGTCGCCAATCTTGCAGTCGAGAAGGATCATCTGGTTGCTATGTACAGCAGATTGTCAATCAAAACGTCGGGAGGGATCCTTAGATTGCTATATATAGCAGGTAGCAATCATGGCGTCAGGAGGGATCCTCAGGTTGCTATATATAGCAGGTAGCAATCATGGCATCAGGAGGGATCCTCAGGTTGCTATATACAGCAGGTAACCAACCATGAAGCAAACCATGAGGAGGAAAACAAAGACCTTGGCCACCATCTCCAGCTGCTCCACAGTGTAGTCCGGCGCCCAGCGGCAGCGGTCACGGAGTCCTATCAGCTCCTGCTTCTTGTGCGACGCTGGCATGCCAAAATGTTTCACTTGGGTCATCTTTTGGTCCTTAAAGAGTCGATTATCGATCAAAATATGAAATATGATGACCAGGAAGGTGATGCCCACGCAGAATAGCAGCCAAATGTCCACCATCTTGAAGTACGAGGTGTTGGGCAGCGAATTTGATGCCTGTCGGGTCAAAAAATGCATCTTAATATTTGTATGCTGACTACATTGTGAACTTTGTCAGCTAAGTGACACATTTATTCATATATGAAACATAGCGTGTGAACGTTTCATAATGATGTGTTTGGGGTGAGAGTAATTGTATGAACAGACCTGAGCGAAGAGTGTAGCGAGGACGAGAAGGGCCGTGAGAGTGACCATGACTCGCACGTCGAAGATGGAGGTTCTGAAGTAGAAGGTGAGGTAGCTGATGATCATGAGGATGAGGGAAGGAATGTAGATGTTGAGGATGGAGTTACCAAACTGTCGCGTCATGGGCACCCGGACCCGAGCCTCGCCTGCCAGGTAGTCCTTCCTCAGGAGCACCTTCACGTCCCCGATCTGAGGCACACACAAGTAAGGAATTATCAAAAGAAGGCACCAAGTCGAGGAGGCTGTGTAGCACTGTCAAAAGTGCGGGATGTTCAAAAGGCGCTAAATATCACAAAGAATGCCAATACGAGAACAAAAGCACATAAGGCGAACAACATCAAAGGCATCCGAGTCACCAAGGATACTATCGAGGGACAAGCGACCGCGAGGGACACTCGGGAAGCAAGGCACGCACATTCTGGAAGTCAGGATATTCATACAAGGATATGCATGATCGTAAAAGGGACAAGGCAATTCGGACAATAAGGAGCAGGGTGGTGCTTCATTAAGTGCTCGTGAGTTAAACGGGTATGGCCAATATGTAACCTCGGCAGAGTCGTTTCCCGCCGCCCGTTACAGTGGTATGAGGAAGGCCATGGGGACACACTTCCATTAAGAGCATGCAGCTTGTCATCCTTACAGACGACCAGCGATCCTGCCAACGGGCATGGATCGAGGAATGAATAACTGGGTAGAAGTCAAAATAAGGAACACCTTTGCGGGAAATGGGACAAGTACGGATAGCCTCCTTCATGGCAGCATCCACACACTTATTCACTTATTTAAGGAAATAACTTGTAGGTTATCAAGAACCCATTAGGGGAAGTCCAAATAAAGAGAAGACGAGCAGGGAGAAAGATAAAGACAGTAAAGGGTGCGAGTGTGGGAGTCAACATGAGTGGGCTCACCAGAATTTAGAAGAGACAGAAGAGAGGACAGAAGTTTCAAGAAGTCGGTACCAGGTGTTTGTCAGAACATCACCCCAAAGGGTATGCTGACAGTAAAAATAACCCAAAAGAAGCACAGGCTCTGGTGAGGAGTCCAACAGGTGTTTAAGATCAGGAAGCAAAAGTGGGACATTTGTGGGGAGATAAATGGAACAGACTGTATACCATTTACAAAGACACGGGCCGCAGAACACCGAATGGGCTAAAAGAGTAGGGGGGACAAAGGAAATATAAAGACGGATCAAGTGTATGTAGTAGAGGCATGGAAGAGGGAAAGAAATAACCCCGGAAGTGACCAGGATGAGCACCAAGCATCGGATCCCGGAGATAAACACAAAGCGGGGAGAACTGCACGATCAGAGGCTGAAGTTCATGGAAGTTGGCCAAAAATAAAAAAAACACGAATATTCCATTGAAGAACAGATATAGACAAAAAAAGAGAGAACAGAAACAGAGATAACAAGTGAGAAGCAAAGGCAAAATAGAATACAGTAGACTAAGGAAGAACAAAATCAGGATCAGTGAAATTAGGGTGATGGGGTAGGGCTAGCAAAGCTAACTGAAACAAGGGAGCAGGAGGACGAACCAGAGGTGAACGGACAGAGTCCGGAGCGAGAAGAGACAATGGAGAGGGGCAGTCAAGGGAAGTGGGGGCAGGAAGGGCAGAAACAGGTGAGGGCACCGGAGCAAGGGGCAGCATCCAAGAGAGGATCAAGGACCAAAGAAACCTCCATAGGAGCGACAGGAGATCCCACCACTGAAAAGGGAGGGGAAGTAGAGATAGTGTCGGGGTCGAAAGGTGAGGAATACATTGAAGCCTTCTTACCCGCTGGGGAGGAAGATGGAGAGGAGCCAGGCTTACACTTCTGACAGAGACAGGTGTGTACCATCAGCAATATACTGAGTGACCGCCTTGACATTTTCAACAGAAGGTGAACGGGAACAGGCAACATGACGAACGCTGGGAGGAGGATGGACAATGGCCTGAACAGACAGACAGCAAGGAGGACTAAGAGACTGAGAAGAAAGAGGGCGAGACGAAGGAGGAGGGCACAGGAGACAAGGAAGACCGGGAAGGAAGGAAACACCAGACGGAGAACCAGGAGGAGGATCATTTGGCCCAAAACGCAAAGGAGCAGACGAGGTGGTGGAGGTGTCGGGGTCCAAGGCCTCGAAACGGTTGCAAAACTGAGAAAGAGGGACTGTAACACAATCATAAGACATGCCAGAAAAAGAGGGAAGACGGCAAACCTGGCACCTAGCCTCAGGAAAAGACAAATGATCACGATGCTTCAAATTGAAAATTGCTTCCTCAAATTTGTAATGCACACATGCGCGAGAGAAGGCAGGGTGCGCGTCACCGCAATTGATGCAGAGAGTTTGGGAAGAAGGGCACTCAGTCTTAGAATGACCCAAGGTTTCACACATGGGGCAGAGCCCTGACTTGTGCATCTGAAGGGACCATGCTTAAATCTCCAGCACCTGTAGCAGAGGTGAGGAGAGGCAATGTACTCCTGAAAGGAGCATCTGGCACCAGCAAGAATGACGGGAGAGGAAAGGGACCAACCATCAAACGTGACCTTCACAACGCAAAGAGGCTGATGGCGACGACCACGAAGGGGTCAAGTGAAGGTATCCACCTGTAGGACAGATTGCCCTTGGGCCCCAAGGATATACTAAATATTCCCATGGCAGTCTTTATGTTCCTTGTCAAAAGTCGCAACTTGGTGTTGGAGAAGAACTGTGCCAATGCAGGCATTCAACCAGGCATTTTTGGAGATCCGAACAGGAGTCTTCCCAATACAGGACAACAAAGCCAAGCGGGCAGCTGTTTCATAAAAAGGGGCTGCAACAGGACAGGTACCAGTACGGGTAGGGTTAAAGGTGACCAACGTATCCACCGAATCAACAAGGTGCTTATGGAGAAATAAATCATCAGGACGATTAAGGGTCAACATGACTAAGATCAAAATACTTAGTCCACGTAGCAGGGCCTAACAAAGCCTGGAAAGGAGATTGTGAAGGAATCAAGCAAGAGCAGAGGTGATGACACCGAGCATCCCCCCAGTACGGAAGTGGGTAAAAGGTGCAGTTGTGACAGAGACAGAGCCATGCCAGGTGATTAGGTCGTCACCACTGGGGCTTGGGACTCAACCTTGCCACAGAGGTGGGAGGGGAGCAGAGATAAACAGTGGGGAGAGTCCGAGAAGGAACACTGTCAAGGCCCAATGTAGCAAGGGATACACAGCCCGGTCTTCCAACACATTCTAACTCGGGGGCTTGGTCACCTACACCACGAGTCTGGGAAATGAAAAGAGGGACAATCATCACATAATAACAAGCGGGTAACAATTTCATTGTTATTCATTGAGGGATGAATAAGTACCCATACCCATCAGGGAGCCATAATTAGAGGATAGGACACCCTACAAGACAGGGCCCCTCAAGGGTGCATCGTGAGTATACGCCCCGCAATTGCCACCTTAAGAACCGTCAGTCCGTCGAGATCGGGTTCAGCAATGAAAGCGAGGATTGACAAACGCATCCCCTCGCTCACAACGTCGGGTACATCAGTTCTACGGGTGGGAGTGTGTCTCCCCACCCTACCCATCAACATTGGTGTTCCTCAGGGCAGCATACTTGGCCCTCTCCTCTTTCTCATCTACATTAATGACCTTCCAAATGCCTCCCAACACCTCAAACCAATTCTATTTGCTGACGACACAACCTTCATTTACTCCAGTCCTGACCCTCTTGCTCTAAATGCCACAGTAAATACTGAGCTAAATAAAGTCCATCATTGGCTAACTGCCAACAAACTCACCCTTAACATTGACAAAACCTTCTATATTCTGTTTGGCAATAAATCCTCTAGTCTTATAAATCTCAAAATAAACAATACCCAAATTTGTAACAAATTAGATGGCAAATTCCTTGGCATTCTCATTGACAACAAGCTGAATTTCCAGGGACACATTCTAAATATATCAAAAAAAGTTTCAAAAACTGTGGGCATTCTTTCTAAGATCAGATATTATGTACCACGCCCTGCTCTGGTGACTCTCTATTACTCCCTTATCTATCCTTATCTCAACTATGGTATTTGTGCTTGGGGTTCTACTACCCAAAATCACTTACGTCCTCTAATTACCCAACACAAAGCCGCTATTAGAACAATATCCAACTCTGGCCCCAGACATCACTCGGTACCCCTACTCAAATCTCTTAATATGTTAGATATTAAGTCACTGCACATTCTCTCATGTGTATTATACATATATAAAACGCTAAACTATAATGCCAATCCTGATCTTAAAAGCTTCATAGAAGGTTGTAACAGAACCCATGAGCACCACACCAGAAATAAATACAGTTTTGATATTCCTAGAGTACGTCTTAATCAAACTAGAAATGCTCTGCAAATCAAGGGGCCCAGAATGTGGAATGACCTTCCCAACCATGTTAAAGACTGTCCCTCTCTCAACCAGTTTAAGATAAAAACTAAACACTACCTAATAAATTCCCTGTAATCTACCTCACTCCTCTATTGTCAACCCATGTCTGTTATTTTCTTTTTTTTTTTCTTTTTTGTAATCAACACTGTTTGTCAACCTATTGTATTTGTGCTGCTTTTTCAGTCATGTTCCCCCTTTTTTTTTTATCTTTATTTGTATTTGTTCTCAACATCTTTTATTCTTTATGCTCAATTAGTATTAAGTTCTAGATATTAATGTTTTTCTTGCCCGAAACGCATTGCGTAATAGTGGCTTTAGGCATTGTATGTACTAGCTCTATCTATATATCAATCCATTAATGTAACATCACTTGTATGTATATACCTTACCTGAATAAACATCTGAATCTGAATCTGAATCTGATAACTGACAGGCGTACACTGTGCTGTACTTCCTGCTCACAGATATGGGGTTCTCTTCTCCAGAATACATGTCCACTGAAGCAACACATCACAAGCGTCAGGTCAACATATAGCTCATAACACAATAACACCAAATGGCACATTGATAATAAAATATTTAATATATTTGTATCAATCAGCTAAGAGTTTATGTATGCTAATAGTATACTTATATAATAATGTTTCGTAAGAGGTGACTAACCTTCACCAGCAGCTCCCTCGTCCCTTCCGAAGGGCTGAGTGAATCTTTTGACAAAAGTGTTGGTATCTGCGGCCAAGAGTGTTTGGTCGATGGTGTCAGTGTTGAGAAGCTTCACCAGCGGCGACCACAATTTCATCATCACGTCTACGGTTGGGCTGTTTAAGCTGTCATTTGACTTCAAATTATAATACTGGAGCCTATTATCAAACCATATCATCTCTATTTCATAAGATAATTTCATGGACATCGCTACCGTCTGGATATCTATGGATTTAATGATAACATTTATGACAACTGGAAGCTTCGAGTCCTCCTTCCCAGGCACTCTTGGAGGAAGATTCTGGTGGTAATCTTTGGGGAATAAGATGAGTTCGCATTCCAGCTCGTCGCTTAGATCTCTACAATCATATTTGAGATCACAGCGATAGTGGTGAGGGATGCAGGTCCCGTCATCACATGTATAATGGTTAGAGAGACAAGGTGTGAGTAGCATGAGACGTCGACCACCGCTTGGCTGGCCACACACCTCTCTCTCCAGTTGCCACCATCTGCGCCCCATTGGAAAGTCGGGATCAAATTCTTCCATCTTGGCTATAATGTAGTCTTCCACTTCGTTTACGTAAATCCATGTCCCATTCACTTTCTTAATGTGGTTTGATCCGTAACTCCTGAAGATCAAACCACCGTATTCCTCTTGGTACGCGACAAAGTAAATGTTACGCAGTTCTGGCTCACATGTCCCTAGCAAGGAAAATCTCTTGGGTTCCGTAAACGTGCAGAGTGCGCACCTACGCCAGGAGCAATCGTCGTCAATCAGTCCGTCTATTCGTACTGCTGCACAGTTTTCATATCTATAACCATTAGGCTCATCTGGAGACCAATAGGAGGAATTATCGATATAATTCTTGTCATAAGAAGCTACCCAAACATTTTCTTGTTTCTTATCATTGAGAGGAGTCCAGATGTAGACAGGGCAATGGTCACTTTTAGGCCACATTTTCTGCGAGAGTTGGTACAGGTACTGAGCATCTTGCAAGCTTTTTATTAGCGGCAGGTGAGTGCCCAGAGCTTCACACAGGTACTGAGCGGTGTCGTCAGTAACATCAGGAAACCAGAAGTAAATATTGCCCACTTCTTGATTACAAAATTTGTCCAATGACATGTCATAAGAAGTTACGTTGTGGAGTGTCCAGCCCGCCTCCCACGAGAGGAAGTTTCCCTTGGGGTCAGTTTGGCAGGCCGCCATTTTCTGGATGTCTGTATCACCTAGTATACTGTCCCAAACATTGACCTGCAAGTAAACAGTTTATGAATTATTTCATTTTATTATTTTTTAAAACAATTATGAGAAAGAAGTAGAAAATTAAAAGTGTTTATTCACATTACTTTTATGAAATCAAAGAATTATGTATAATGTTATTCTTAACTATTGTGACAACTTAAATACTTATAGTTTTAGCCCATATATTTGTCCATTCACATGCACACAAATGTAGTTAGGGAAGTTCATATATATGATTAGTATGAATGGCAGCATAATGACGACATTTTAGTTTTGCCAATGTCACCACTATGTTGCCACAGTTTTAGGCCAAAATTGGGGCTGAAGCAAGTCTATCTTTGTGTAATATATTAGTTAGGGATTGTCAGGCTATGGACAACATGAGACACACGAACCCTGGAACAGGGAACCTGATGTACCCAGAGAGCATCCACCATCACAGAACTAGTGGCCCATAGATAATGGCATAAAGTTGCCACCGGACATAATATGTGATGCACCCCCTGTGCAATATACTGCACATGCACACTGCACATGCACTACACTGCACATGCACATGCAATACTGCACATGCACTAAGTAAACATTAGTGTTTTTTCCTGCCCGAAACGCTTTGCGTAATAGTGGCTTTAGGCATTGTATGTACTAGCTCTATCTATAAAGCCAACAAACTTTGTAAAATCTCTATGTATGTACCTTTACCTAAATAAATATTATTATTATTATTATTATTATTATTATATGTGATGCGCCTAACCAACCAAGCATCCACCACTAACGGATCCCTCCGGAAGTCAGTCGTCCCATTCTACGCCAGAAAAGAAGAAGGCTGCAAACGAACAAAACTACCTCCTGGACCAATCGAACAGCACCCCTGGTGTTGGAGACGAGCACGAAGCTCCCCATCCTGACTCCCAGAGGCCAAGGCCAAAAAAAAAAAAAAAAAAAAAAAAAAAAAAAAAAAAAAAAAAAAAAAAAAAAAAAAAAAAAAAAAAAAAAAAAGCCTTCCACAAGCGATCCCAAACTGAAGGGGCCACAAAAATGTGGGAGAAGAAAGAAAGGAAAGAACCCAGTCCAAAGACCAATTAGGCTCAGGGAGCACATAAGCATGCCGGAGATGAAAAAACGCACAAGAGTTTGCAGAACAGAGCGGAAGTGACATCCACCCCAAACGCAAGCTGCAGTGGCTCTGTCTATTCCCGGCAGTTTTTCCCCACATTTATGGTCTTTTGAACCTAGATGATTATTCCTGAATCTAGATAGTCTAGAAACTAGATTATATTTCAATAGCAAATACATAAGAAACTTCTTGATTTTGCATTAGAATAATTTTTACATATTATAGCCTAACCTAGCTAACAGCCCATATTTATAATATCTATATAACAAAGTGAACAAATTATTTACAGTGGCTAAAGCCACCATATCCATTACCTAATAAGCATTCATAGCATACTAATACAGTTCTGTGTCAAAAACCACAGAACTTAATTTTATCAGTGTCAAAGACAATTGCATCTTACTCATATATACCATTATATACCTCAATTGTGGTAACATATATACACACATTAAGTGTATTATCTAGCATTATCTGTAATCAACTGATTTTCAGAGCTGCTCATTACAAAATACTCTTAAAAAACTGTTTTTAACACAAAAAGAGCATTTCATTTCAATATATCCATAATCAACTGTATCAATCCCTATTACAGGTAAAACCAGTAGGCATTCTACTGTATTTTATCAAACCCCTATTAAGGTAATAGATCTTGTAATGATTTTGCAGAAATAGTGCCATTTACTATTTTTAAAAAAATTATTACAAAATTTACTCATTTGGTGCATTCGGTGCATTCGGATGACAAACCAAATTATTACACTTTTGACAATTGAGCACCTGTTACAACAAGATTCCAGGGAAGAAAGGAAGGACGATCTTTGGGATCATTACCTAAGTAGACAGGAAAGCTCATTTATCAAAATACATTAACATTATACATATTTTTATCAAAACAGAAAAATATCTCGGAAACTCCAAAACTCAGAAAAATCCAGATTTCATCTAATTCTTCACCTGCTACAGAAACAGGTAAGAAAAGGACACTTATAAAGGTCTAAAAAATCACTCGACTCAACAGCTTGACAGATGTCAAGAGTTAGCTAATCAAGTATCTCTTAATTTAATCATCTTGAATAACAGTAAAAACTGCTGTTGAAAGATTTGATCAAATCAAAGACCCTTCTAAGACTTATTTAGCAGAAAGATCTAATGCTGATTTAACCCAAAGGGAACTTCAGGATATCAGAACTGAAACAACCATTTATGAAAATAAAATCCAGGATCAGATAGATCCTTTAATCAAACTTGCATTACCAACAGTTGCCCAACCAAATGTGAGCACATGCACTAAGTTTGGTACCTCAACTATCCCACATGTAGCAACTGAGCTCCCAAAGGTACAATTACCATGTTTTGAGGGCAAAGCTGAAGATAATTGGGATACCTTCTGCAGAGCTTTTGATTATTTAATACACTAATGCTTCTCTCATTAAGGCTATTAAATTTTTATATTTACAAAACCAAGTAAGAGGAAATGCATTCAGTTCATTGCTAATTTGTCATGCACAGATGAAGCTTATGATTAAGCCATTCAATTGTTACATGCTAAGTACAGTGGATACTAATCAAGAAACTTGAAGGCCTACTGGCCACTTCTATCAGTTGAATGACAAAGTCATCACTTAGCTAAACAGCAAATCATTAACCTTAATCCTCAGCCTACAGGCCATTTAAATCAGGTGATAGACAAATGTCATCATCACTTGGCTACAATAGTCTACCATTGGGGATTAAGACCAATCATAATCTCAAGTCACAATCTAAATAGCTGAATAGCCCATCACTAATCTACAATCTTAAGGCTAACAGCACATTGACAATGTCAATCCAAGTACTGTATTATCATTCATTTAAGGTAACTATCTTAATCCAAGAATATAATCTTGATCCCCTAATTTCATGCTTTCATTGGAGTGAAAGCAGCCCCAGAAAATCTGAAGACAATTAAGCATCTCAAAGAGATTTACTTAATAGAAAAGGCAAAGCCGAAAAAAATAAAAAGCAAAATGCTTCATAACATCATGAATAATCTAGATACACATTATTACAGATACAATTCATCCTTTAAGGAAATCCTTGGAGGAGTATGAGTGTTACATGCTTGTATAACCTACTTGCATTGTAAATACATACCTACAAGTATGCCCGAAACGCTTTGTATGCCCGAAACGCTTTGCGTAATAGTGGCTTTAGGCATTGTATGTACTAGCTATACCTATAAGTTAAACAATCCTTGTAAATATTTATTGTATGTATGTACCTTACCTAAATAAAATTGTATTGTATTGTATTGTATTGTAAGTGTTACATACTTGTATCAATATCACCACAAGAAAAAAATCACTGAAAGTGAATCTTCGGACAAAAATAAAAATGTCCCAACTGGCAGTCAAAAATCAAGGCAATAAAACTCGTCTTCTGCAAAGTAGAAAGAGTAATGTTGGCTCATATGCTATATCACCCACAGTTAACAGAACTGTAGGAAATCAAGCTCCCAAGGCAGATAAAACAAAAGGAGCTACAAGTGCACCAATTTATTTATTCTGTCAGGAAGCACATACCTATCAATGCACAGCCCATGCAAATGTAGACTGTGCCAACAGAATCAATAATAATCAATAAGCCCATCATCACACAGCAAAAATCTGCTATCAGAATAATAACTAACTCTGCTTTCAGACAACACTCAGCTCCCTTGTTTAAATCCCTAAACTTGCTAAATATTAACTCCCTCCACACATTCTCTTGTGTCAACTACATTTACAAAACCCTGTTCTTAAATGCAAACCATGCTCTGAAACTCTCCCTGGACAGATGTAATAGGACCCATTATCACCACACCAGAAATAAATATCTCTTTGATATCCCAGGGTCAAACTTAATCTGTGTAAACACTCTATGCAAATTAAGGGACCTAGTCTATGGAACTCACTCCTTAGTGAATTGAAAAACTGTAAAACTTTTGCCTTATTTAAAAGCAAAACCAAAAAGTACCTAACTTCATCTATTTAGTTCCTACACTGAGCTTTAAATTTGCTCTGTACCTAGTGTTACCCAATCTCCTAATTTTTATGTAATATCAAACAACCTTATCATTGTGTTCATTGCTGTCTTCTTTTATGTGCTAGCCATATGCTGTATTGTGACTACCAATTTTTGTCAACTACCATTCAAGCTGTCATTGCAATCAATCTTATATTGTTTCTGCTGTATTGTGCCTACCAATTTGTTGTCAACTACCATTTTAAGCTGTCATTGCAATCAATCATAGCTACCTATGTGCTTTAATATACTGTACCTATAATTTTCTCTCATCTTCTTTTTTTTTCATTCCATGTAATCTGTTATCATTTTTTTGTCTATAAATTTTGCAAGTATTTACCTCCTTAAAATTTTCTTAGATTAAGGACCTGCCCCAAACGCTGCGCGTGCTAGTGGCTTTACAAGACTGTAATTACCATATTTGTATCCTCACATTCCTTTGTACATTCTTGTATATGCATAAATAAATAAATAAATAAATAAATCTATATCACAGGCAAAGCCGAAAGATGATAATTCTTCACCAGCTGTACAATTTTGTAAGGTACTGAGTGATGTTAATGCCTTAGTAGCAAAAACAATTACTACAGATACATTACCTACTGTACAGCTAGAACTAATCTACCAAGGAGCTTGCATTCAAACAAAAGTACTAGATCTTGAAGCTACAACTCCTGATAAATCACATCATACAGAAACTGTAATAGTGGCTTGACTAGGCAAAGAACAGCCACCACTTAATATCCCTTACATGATTGATGACAGATTGGAATCTGTGCATAAATTGTGAGGACTTGATGCAATAGGAATAATTCCTGAACAACCAAGTCCTGATGGTGTCTGTACATACAATCAGTACTCACATACTGTACAGTACCATGATTTTAAATTTAAATTTTTGAAATTTTGCCCCGAGGGGTGAGTTTATTGGGCAGTGCCACTCATCTTGTGAGTGGGCACACCGCCATAGCAGCATGTACAACACTCCCCAATAGGAAGAAAACCCGCTGGGTTGTTCATCCTGTCACTTGTACCCAGACACAGCTGGGACTTGCTTAACTGTCTCAAGTGAACAGCTCCTCAGACAAGAAGATTAACATCTATCAACCCTTAAAAGCTTGATGGACAGTACTGGGTAAGGCTACCATGGAAAATCAACCATAAAACCTTACCTACCAACTATCATATGGCTATAGTCAATTTAAATCTCAATTAGCAAAGCTAATGCTGGCTGTAATGAGAGAATAAAAAACAACTCCTTTACGGATAGCTTTTAATTGTAGCTAAATCTAGACCCCAAGGAACCAGTCTAAATGATTGTTTGCAAACAGGTCCAAGTCTAACTTAGAAATTGTATGACATACTGCTGAAGTTTAGACTTAACAAATATGCATTTTCAGCAGATATAAGCAAAGCCTTTCTAAGAGTTGGCTTACAGGAAGAAGATAGGGACTTCACTAAGTTTCTATGGGTAGAGAACCCAGAGGATCTCAATAGTCCTATTGTGACCTACAGATTCTCCTCTGTTACATCTAGCCCATTTTTGCTGCAAGCAACTCTAGATACTCATCTGAAGAAATCATCTAGTCCTTATAAGGCTGAAATCAGTCAAAATTTATATGTAGATAATTTTCAAGGGACAGTCAACAGTACTACTGAACTGTTACAAATATATCAAGAGGCCAACAAGGAGCTACAAGGTGCCAACATGCCACTACAATCATGGGCCTCTAATAATGCAACATTGAATAATCAAATAGCAAGAGATTACCCTGAATATCACATACCAGAATCACTAAAGGTGTTAGGTATGGAATGGGATCTAATCTCAGACACAATATCAATCAAATCAGTACCAGTAAACTATTGCATTGCTACAAAAAGGGATTTGCTTTCACAAGTTAGCAAAGTATTCGACCCACTTGGTCTACTAAATCCTTTAACTATCAAATGGTGTTTATTGGTGCAAGAAGCTTGAAAGACTAAAGTTGGTTGGGATGATCCACTACCACTCCAGTTACAAAAAGCTTGGATGGAAATGGCTCAAGAACAAACTTTAGTCGAACAGATAATCTTTCCGAGACACATAGTCAAGGAAAATGATGAAGTATTACTACATGTATTCGCAGACTCATCAGCCAAAGCTTTTGGAGCTTATTCTTACTTAGTGACTTCCCATCAATCATAGCTAATCACATCTAAGGCTAGAGTCGCTCCACTAAAACATAGAGGACTTTGCCTCAGATGGAACTAACTGCATTTCTAACTGGCACACGCTTAGCGTGTGCCAGTTAGATCCTGAGGAATCTAGGTCCTGAGGCCAGATTCATCTAGCATTTACGCATCTACTTACGAACCTCTGCATTATTTCAATCTTTGGCGGCTTTGTTTACAATTGTGAAACAATTCATGAGCTCCGAATCACCAGGAGGCTGTTTATAACAATAACAACAGTTGCTTGGGAAGTTTTCATGCTTATAAATTGTTTAATAAATGAAACCAAAGCCACTAAAGACAGAGAAAAGATGCCTAAGTTCGTAAACAAATCCACAGGTACTGTCGTGAGGGTTCGTAAACAAATTCACAGGAGCCGTGATAAGGGCTCTGATGCAAATCCACGGCTCCTGTGTATTTGTTCATCGATATATCACGATAATGTGATTTCTCTGTGTATAGGTTGGTAAGTTAGATGTGTAATTCTTGTTAAGTTCCGGCCCCAATCCCTTACCTGAGTAATGTCCCCGCTGAAGCTCTCGGCAGCGGCCTGGCCATTGCCCACGGCAGCGTAGTCCCCGAAAGCCGGCCGGTTGACGTTATAGGAACTGTTTCTCACACCCACTCCATCAAGGAAGGTTTTAATCAAGAAGGTGAGGTGGTTATAGGTGAAACAAAGATGGTACCACCTGTAAATGTACAGCTTGTTTAGGCTTCATGTCGAAAGACGAATGTTTTACCTGAATAAACATCTGAATCTGAAACATCTGAATCTGAATCTGAATCTGTTTATTTTATTTTCTTCTCACTAACACTTCCAACTTGGGAGGAAGTTAGCAAATATAGAATTAAAGTCTAGGAAATGCTCACACTCATTTGCCAAGGTCGTAAGGGTAATAGTAGCACATACATTACATTTATCTGGTTTCCAGGAGAATAATCCCTGATGGGCTTAGCCATGAGAAGAGACACAGGTTGGCGCCATCTTCCTGTTCCACAGCATCACTGTCCATACATATTGGTCAGAGCGTGTCCCTAATGATGTTAACATTCCTAACCTGCTCACTCCCTCTTCACTCAATACAGACCTAACTACCTTAAAGGACTGTAAGACTCGCTCAGTCGGGTCATTAAGCCCACCTCGGGGTCTAGTCGATCCCCTATAAACACAACGAAACTGTCCCTATGATTTTCTGATTACAACTTTTAATAAAGTTGTTAATCTTGTTATAACATTTTTATGACGTATTAGAACTTTGTTACAACTTGCTATATTGGTTGTTACAATTGTTAGAAGGTGTTAAATCTTGTTCAAACGTTATAGGAACGTCGTAGTTTTGTCGTGTATTTGGCTCTACTCTGCCTCATAAATATCAAGTCACCCCCCCACCCCCATGAATAATATCTCAAAATCAGTACCAGAAATGTCCATGTGCTCAACCTTCGCCTCTAGAATAATTTTTTTTTACCCCCAACATGATAGCAGTCTAAACAGACGCTAGATCCCACATTACCACTTAAAAACTTGACGTGGAAAGTAAGGAATACTGCATTTGACCTACTGATCAATCCGAGGAAGATCATATTTATCCACAGTTCTCTACAGCCCAATTGCCAAACTAGTATTTGCTTATGTCAATTTTAAAACGTAGTTTCTTCAATTTATGATATTTAACACAAGCTCTGAGCTGGCTGTACATTGTGACACAGTATAGCTAAGATACCGCTGAGGTAATTGTCCGGTATAGCTAAGATACCGTTGAGATAAAAGTCCAATATAATTTAGATACCGTTGAGATAAAAGTTTGCCTGTACTCGGGTGGATTTCTTGCTGGGGTCTTGAAGATTTACTAAGGACAACAAATGATAAAGATAGGCAACAATCAACGAATCATAATTAAATCAGCAAACCTCAGTAATTACACGAGATGAATATTATTATCAAACAATAATCACCTCAGATGGTATAATTATTGGCTTACAGATATAATTTTGTTCCAAGGGAATGTATATGAAGCAATGTATAGTCAGCATATTTATATAATAATAATAATAATTATTTTTATTTAGGTAATGTACATACATAAAGAGATTTTACAAAGTTTGTTGGCTTTAAAGATAGAGCTAATACATACCAACCCGTTCTCGCAAATTTAATAAGTCAATATTGACTTATTAAATATGTGCATAGGTGACATACTTAACATAATAGTTTCCCTTGAAAAGCTTCGTAGAAAACACCGACCTTACCTAACCTACTTAGTATGTTAAGATAAGCATCTTATTGCTTCGTATTACAATTGTTACTTAACCTATTATAGGTATAGGGTAGGTAATAATTGTAATTACGAAGCAATAAGATGCTTATCTTAACATACTAAGTAGGTTAGGTAAGGTCGGTGTTTTCTACGAAGCTTTTCAAGGGAAACTATTATGTTAAGTATGTCACCTATGCACATATTTAATAAGTCAATATTGACTTATTAAATTTGCGAGAACGGGTTGTACATACAATGCCTAAAGCCACTATTACGCAAAGCGTTTCGGGCAGGAAAAACATTAATGACTAAAGCTTAAAACTAATGGGTAAAAAGAATAAGGTGTGTTGAGTACAAATAAAAATAGAGGTAAAAGAGGGGGGACATTGTTGAAAAAGCAGCACAAATACAATTACAAATTATTACAGAAAATTACATTCAAACAGCGTTGATTTGAAAAACAAAAAACATACATGGGTTGACAACAGAGGTGTATTATAGAACTCACCTGAAGGCCCAGAGTTGGTTATCGAGAGGCATAAAGTGCCAGGTGTGTGAGATAGCCACCCTCACCTTGTCCAGCCACACCTCTGCCACACACCCACCACACATGCAAAACAATAGTGAGATATCAGGAAAATATGTTGACATATTAAGTAGTAGTAGTAGTAGTAGTAGTAGTAGTAGTAGTAGTAGTAGTAGTAGTAGCTACATTTAGTAGCCTTCACTACGTACGCTACTAAAGTGGCTTTTTTATGTAATGTTTCAGTGTAGCATTTAAACAAAGAGTCAAGAGATTCATTGATCTATTGTCGAGTTATTTAACTCTTAATAGACAAGAGATATTGAGGAGAGACAGGAGAGATTAGGATGAGAGGGGGAGGTAGAAGGGCCAGAGTTGGAGAGGAGAGCAGAGGTGAGGGGGGGAAGAGAGAGAGAGAGAGAGAGAGAGAGAGAGAGAGAGAGAGAGAGAGAGAGAGAGAGAGAGAGAGAGAGAGAGAGAGGGGGGAGAGAGAGAGAGATAGAGAGAGAGAGAGAGAGAGAGAGAGCAGAGAGAGAGAGAGAGAGAGAGAGAGAGAGAGAGAGAGAGAGAGAGAGAGAGAGAGAGAGAGAGAGAAGAGAGAGAGCGGTGGGCACCAGACCAAGAGAGAGAGAGAGAGAGAGAGAGAGAGAGAGAGAGAGAGAGAGAGAGAGAGAGAGAGAGAGAGAGAGAGAGAGAGAGAGAGAGAGAGAGAGAGAGAGAGAGAGAGAGAGAGAGAGAGAGAGAGAGAGAGAGAGAGAGAGAGAGAGAGAGAGAGAGAGAGAGAGAGAGAGAGAGAGAGAGAGAGAGAGAGAGAGAGATGAGAGAGAGAGAGAGGAGAGAGAGGAGAGAGAGGAGGGAGAGGGGGGGGAGGGGGGGGGGGAGGGAGCTTGGGGCAATGATTAAGGAACCAGGTCTGATTAATACCTGCTGAAATAAAATTAACACGAGTGTTAATATAAAATCGTGCTACAATGTACCTTTTCACCTTAACTAATATGTTAGATTAAGGACCTGCCCGAAACGCTATACGTGTTAGCGGCTTTACAAGAATGTCAAAATATCTCTCTAAAGTAATCTCACCAACCCATTGTGCCTTCTTGTAAATAAAATAATTATTATTATATTAATACCGAAGACTACCAGTATTGACCCTCCCGAGGAGTGATGACCTCTCTGATAACCTCAACCTCTCAAGACTCTACTCTAACCTCTTAAATGCTGTATCCTCTTAAATGCTGTATCCTTAAATGCTGTAAAACGGGTCCTCGTAGCCTGGTGGATAGCGCGCAGGACTCGTAATTCTGTGGCGCGGGTTCGATTCCCGCACGAGGCAGAAACAATGGGCAAAGTTTCTTTCACCCTGAATGCCCCTGTTACCTAGCAGTAAATAGGTACCTGGGAGTTAGTCAGCTGTCACGGGCTGCTTCCTGGGGGTGGAGGCCTGGTCGAGGACCGGGCCGCGGGGACACTAAAGCCTCGAAATCATCTCAAGATAACCTCAAGAAGATCCTTTAGCTAACCAGGCGATTTGCCAAGGTTGTTAGAAGCTTATTTATACTCGGCTGTACATACCACAAAATGCCGACAACCATGTGGAGAACTACCTAGTTGATAGAAGACTGTATCCGTAGATTATGTTGTGGTTAAAACAGCAACATTGCTTCTAAAAATACACACGCCAAGTGTTTATAAATGGGAAAAAGAGGAGGCTGGGTCTGTGAGGTGTAGGTTTGAGTGAGGTGAAGATGTTGGGGGGGGGGATGGGGGGTATGAGGTTAGTGAGGTTGGGGTGGAGACAGTGAGGTGAATGAGGGGGCATTCGCTCAATGGTTTAAAGTTGTTTGGCTGAAGTCAATGAGGTACAAGTATGTTTATTGAGATAAGCAATAAATACATCTCAAAGGGATAGAGTAGCTTAGGCTATTTCTACCCCCCCCCCCCTTAATGAGGTACAGGTAGAGGGTAATGAGTACAGTGAAGGTGAGAGAGGGGTCAAGGTCAATGAGATGACCAGCCGTGAGGGGTTATGTGCAATAACATATATTATTTAAGAATCAATTTGGCAAGAGACCTTTGCAATTTCCGTCATTGCATTCAATATTAATGAATTGTTTAATGGCTGCAGATTCTCTAGTCCCTTAATATTTGTAGTGTATTCTAATAAATTCATCATCTGTGATGAATGATGGACACGAGCACCATCTTTAGTGTGAACAGTATCCTCTACGGCGATGATTCATAATCCTTATACATAAATTACTTTCATTTAATTCTTTAGCAATTTCATTCTCTGTTTACATACAAACAAACAAGAAACTAATCTACGACGTCAACAATGCGACGTCAAGCGACGTCGCATTGTTGGACGGTAGAGATGGATGGATGGATGGACGGTAGAGCGACGGTCTCGCTTAATGCAGGTCGGCGTTCCATCCCCGACCGTCCACAAGTGGTTGGGCAACCATTCCTTTCCTCCGTCCCATCCCAAATCCTGACCCCTTCCAAGTGCTATATAGTCGTAATGGCTTTGTATTTTCCCCTGAAAATTCTCTACCTCCCTCCTAAGTAGCTACTCTATACATCACTCTCTTATTGTTAGTTTCTGTGCCACAAACTTCAAGACCTCGTATATAGTCGTTCTCTGTGCCACACTTAGCTAAAGTTGAGTGAGACTCTTATATCTTCTGGCTCAGACAGTAAATGTTTATAATGTTATTTCAGTTTTTAGTGTTACGGTATAAACTAAGCCTTGCTGATAGGAAGGAACTCTACTACATCCGTTCACACAACTGAGGCGGACACTAGGCTGCCATCTGGTGTCCCACGCAAGTACTCGCATAGTTGTGCTTGAAGGGGGTTGAGCTTCGGCTCTTTGGGAGACACGCCAGACTTCTTGCCAACAAAGTCCTCCAAATTTAATAATTAATAATACTATCTTGAGGTTATCTTAGTCTGAGGTTATCACCCTCAGCCGTGGTGGGGTCCTGGTGTGCCCTCAGCCGTGGTGGGCTCCTGGTGTGCCCTCAGCCGTGGTGGGGCTCCTGGTGTGCCCTCAGCCGTGGTGGGGCTCCTGGTGTGCCCTCAGCCGTGGTGGGCTCCTGGTGTGCCCTCAGCCGTGGTGGGGCTCCTGGTGTGCCCTCAGCCGTGGTGGGCTCCTGGTGTGCCCTCAGCCGTGGTGGGCTCCTGGTGTGCCCTCAGCCGTGGTGGGCTCCTGGTGTGCCCTCAGCCGTGGTGGGCTCCTGGTGTGTGCCCTCAGCCGTGGTGGGGCTCCTGGTGTGTGCCCTCAGCCGTGGTGGGCTCCTGGTGTGCCCTCAGCCGTGGTGGGCTCCTGGTGTGTGCCCTCAGCCGTGGTGGGCTCCTGGTGTGTGCCCTCAGCCGTGGTGGGGCTCCTGGTGTGTGCCCTCAGCCGTGGTGGGCTCCTGGTGTGCCCTCAGCCGTGGTGGGCTCCTGGTGTGCCCTCAGCCGTGGTGGGGCTCCTGGTGTGCCCTCAGCCGTGGTGGGCTCCTGGTGTGCCCTCAGCCGTGGTGGGCTCCTGGTGTGTGCCCTCAGTCGTGGTGTGGCTCCTGGTGTGTGCCCTCAGCCGTGGTGGGGCTCCTGGTGTGCCCTCAGCCGTGGTGGGCTCCTGGTGTGTGCCCTCAGCCGTGGTGGGCTCCTGGTGTGTGCCCTCAGCCGTGGTGGGCTCCTGGTGTGCCCTCAGCCGTGGTGGGCTCCTGGTGTGTGCCCTCAGCCGTGGTGGGGCTCCTGGTGTGTGCCCTCAGCCGTGGTGGGCTCCTGGCTTCTACTCTGCCGGGATCATTGGACGACTTCTGCATTTTAGTTGGGGGATCAAGTTCTTGGTTTTGCTACCTGGTGTTCTCTGTGTGGGACAGGCCGGTGCTTGTCCCCGTGAGGAACTCCTGGGGCTCTCCAATCATCTGCCTGTCTGCGTTTCTTTGCCGCGAGGCATATTAGTTTCCACCGATTGGCGTCACTCGTTTCGCCATTAGGCTTCGCGATAAACTCTTCACGGGTACGCTGGGGCGCATCCGATCCCTCGATCGTCATCGCCCCTAAATCACCAGCAACAACAGGGTGTGAAACTTGGGTATCTGGGTGATGTTTTGTGTTGCTGCGACTGGCCACCAGGGCGGCGCTCCGATCATGGCGCACCATCCCACAGCTGTGATTTGTTGTTATCCATTCCTTGCATATGGCTGCCAGGCAGTTATCTTCTTGAGGTTATCTTGAGAGGATTTCAGGGCTTAGCGTCCCCACGGTCCGGTCCTCGACCAGGCCTCCTTTTTGTTACACACCCCCAGGAAGCAGCAGCCCCTAGCAACTGTCTAACTCCCAGGTACCTATTTACTACTAGGCGAACTGGGGCATCAGGGTGAATGAAACTCTGCCCATTTGTTTCTGCCGCCACCGAGAATCTAATCTGGAATCTTGTTATTGTTATAAACAGCCTCCTGGTGCTTCGGAGCTCATTAACTGTTTAATAATTGTAAACAAAGCCGCCAAAGATTGAGAAAAGATATACAGGTTCGTAAGTACTTGGGTAACTGCTTCGTGAATCTGGGCCTAGGTTCGTAAGTTCTTGCGTAACTGGCTTCGTGAATCTGGCCCCCAAACCTCACAGCAGAAAATTGAGAAACGGTGACGTTTCGGTCATTCCTGGACCATTATCACACGACTTGCTAATGGTCCAGGACGGACCGAAACCTCGTCTCCTCATCTTCTGGTGTGTGGTCTGGTCATCATATCATCAGCCACGTTATTGTGACTCATCGTCTGAAGATTAATAATCATCGCTATATATTTCTAAAGTAAATTGAATTGTTGATTCAACTTCATCTTGTTTGTTCGAACAATTATAGAGCGCCTGTGTGGTGATTAGGCTGCAATCAACTTAACGAATCTATTTGAGACTTCTGACGACAATACTGCAGAATGGTTCCATTTCAAGTGATTCCATGAATAAAATAACAAGCACATCACTAATTGGAAATCCAATTGCCATCCTGAATTGTTGCTAATGGGATTGAGAACTGAAGCAGAGGTATCGTTATGTATGCATAAGTCGATAGGGTCGATGAAGTCATTATAAAGTAGAGGATTGTTGATGTTAGAGGCAGGTAGTTTACCTTAACGTAATCTGAGGGATTTGTGAGTGGGGCTGTTAGTGAAGAATGAGTGTGTGAGGACCAAGAGACACCAGGAGTGGTGTCTCCTGGTCCAGGTAAGGTCCTCACATTTCTGGTGAGGACCAGGAGACACCAGGAGTGGTGTCTCCTGGTCCTCCTGGTCCGGGTAAAGTCCTCCTGGTCCTCACATTTCTGGTAAGGACCAGAAATGTGAGGACCAGGAGACAGGTTCATTTAGCTCAGTTCTCAGTGGTATGCTCTTAACATCATTATGTTATGTTTCAGAATTTTTTTCTAAATTACTCCTTTGTATGTTCATTCTGTTATTAATTAATAAACCATTGTACAGTTACTAGAATTACAGACTCTATAACGTAATAGTCTAAGCCTGTCATTATTATCACTTTCTTGTATTTATTGATTTTTCTTGAACTTTTTCCAATTGTGTTAGCTCCTCTAGTATTAAATGTTTACCCTTTCACACGTTTAGTAAATTTATCTAAATCGTTCTAAGTTTTGCCCGAAATGCTTAACGTAATAGTGGCTTCATGTGTGTAACGCCTGTCCCTACAACTGTACATTTAGTCTCCGTGGTGTAGTGGTAAGACACTCGCCTGGCGTTCCGCGAGCGCTATGTCATGGGTTCGTATCCTGGCCGGGGAGGATTTACTGGGCGCAATTCCTTAACTGTAGCCTCTGTTTAACGCAACAGTAAAATGTGTACTTGGATGAAAAAACGATTCTTCGCGGCAGGGGATCGTATTCCAGGGACCATAGGATTAAGGACTTGCCCGAAACGCTACGCGTACTAGTGGCTCTACAAGAATGTAACAACTCTTGTATATATCTCAAAAAAAAAAAAAAAAAAAAAAAAAAAAAAAATTACTCCTATGTTGACTTGTACACACATTCTTTTGAATAAAAAATTATGATTATTGAGAAAATCCATTAGGACTGAGGTGGAAGCGAACCTACTACCAAGGCTTTGTCAAGCCACATACTTGGTCATAAGTTTTCATCCACCTCACAGCCCTCACGTTAATGTCATTTCTGGGTGATTATTTTTATTATTACGAGAAAATAACAGACCAGCTTACCAGCTCTCAGCATCCAATAGCGATTATCCACACTGTCGTACAGGAAGAACAGCGTGCCACGCTGCTGTAGAAAAAATATCTTGAACCTGACGCAGAAGGTGAGAGAGAAGAGATGGTTGGCCCGGCTGAGAGTCCCTCTGTACACGGCGACGCTCTCGCTGGAGGCTAGGCCATCCTCCTCTAGCCTTACAACCATCACGCTCTCTACACACGCTGAAGAATAACATAAAAAATTACAAATATGGCCCGAGAAAGCTAACCTCGGACTACTTCGTTAGCTAGATAAATTATTCTATTCAAACTTTATTATCTTAAACTAAATTTAGGGAAGGTACAGATTTCACCGTCACATCAGTTTGTAAGGGGCAGGATAGGGTGTTTCAAGGACAGACGACTTGAGAATAGTCCAGGACGGACCGAAACGCCGTCGCCCCTTCACTTTCTAGTGTGTGGTCTGGTCAGCATTTTCAAGGACATTTTGGGGGCTTATGCTCCACAAAGATACTTTCTGGAGTGAATAGAACGAAGTCTGGAGGACTCTGCTGAAGCCTGTCCAAGTTTTTATGTATAGCCCCCCTAAGCACTCTGCTGTAGACAACGAAGTTCATCCGCCATACGCGCCAACTTCAGATACTCAGAGAAATCATACTAATGTGATATGTATCAATGATAAAATCAACTGGAGCTCTGAGGTGAACCCGCGACCGAGCGACTCCCAGCCACTGACGCCAACCCCTGAACCACTATGACTTGATAAAAGTTAAACGACCGATTTGCTACCGAAATCACACTCCAGACTTCCTGTCTGGAGTGTGATACCCTCTTTATACCCTACCATTATATTACCATCTCTCTTACCCTAACATTATACCACCAGCCCCTTAACACTAACATTATACTATTGAGAAGATGAGTAGGACCCATGGGGAAGGATTCGAAACCACACACACTTGGGACTCTCTAGCAAACGCCCTAGACCATTGTGAGGACCTGGGGTCAGATTCTCGAAGCAGTTACGCAAGCACTTACGAACCTGGGGCCAGATTCACGAAGCAGTTACGCAAGCACTTACGAACCTGTACATCTTTTCTCAATCTTTGGCGGCTTTGTTTACAATTATTAAACAGTTAATGAGCTCCGAAGCACCAGGAGGCTGTTTATAACAATAACAACAGTTGATTGGCAAGTTTTCATGCTTGTAAACTGTTTAATAAATGTAACCAAAGCCGTCAAAGACTGAGGAAAGATGTACACGTTCGTAAGTGCTTGCGTAAGTACTTTCGTGAATCTGGCCCCAGGAGTCCTCAATGATTCCTAAAGGATTACACTGAGGTCCAATGAGGGTTTGGCGCAGTACCCGAGCCCATTGACTGTGGTTCAGCAGTTTTACCTCTTCAAATGCATAATGAAATAACATTAACGTTATGCATCAATGAGAAAACTAGCGGAAGCCTAATAAGAGGTTCGAATCTATCTCACAACTCCTACTGATTTTCCCACTGATCCGTTATGTTAATTGGATTTAATTGTGCATTATACTACTATTGAATGGAAACTAGGTGTAAGCGTACTTCTGGAAATCTTTTCGAAATTGTAAATTTAACCTAGCCTAACCGAACCTAACTCCAGTAATTTAACTTTAACCTAACTATACCTAACCTTACCTAACTTAACCTAACCTAACAAGAGGCGGCCTGGTCGACAACTGGGCCGCGTGGACGCTAAGCCCCGGAAGCACCTCAAGGTAAGGTAGCCTAACCTGACTCCAGGAATTAATCTCATTGCGCTCTTCGTTTGAGTTTTGACTCAGATAGTGACCTTTATTTTCACTGCTAGCTAGTAGATACATTTGCTTCTGTTATTGAGCACTGTACCATAGGAGGCGATTGTAATGGCAACTGCTGAAACTGCGCACGCGCAGAATACAGTTATCCAGTGGTGCGCAGCAGGCATTGCGCATCCTGTACACTCTATGACACAATGTATTGACCATCGCTGGTCTTGATCTCAATATGATTAATGCAACATATTTATGTAATAATTTAATAGCAACCACAATACCAAACACAACAGCTACTGGGCTCTTGCACTTCAATACAATGAATACAACAACAATACAATGAAACCTCTGAATGTATTTATTGTGTTTCATTTTAAGATATGCACTTGGACGTGAATAGTCCAGCCAAAAATTCGATACATATGTGAAGTATATTTAAATTAAAGATTCAGGCTAGGCTTTGTGAAGGGAATATTGAAGAGATATTCCTCGGGATGCCAGAGGCTAAAGGATCACAACTCAATACGTAATATTCGTTATTTACAACCTCTGGAGAGTGGTCGGCCGCTCACTCACAAAACGACTACGACTTGTACATGGATACAGGTATGCTCACACACACACACACACACACACACACACACACACACACACACACACACACACACACACACACACACACACACACACAGGTTCTCAGGAATCTGTACACCTGTTGATTGACGGTTGAGAGGCGGGACCAAAGAGCCAGAGCTCAACCCCCGCAAACACAACTAGGTGAGTACAACTAGGCGAGTACACACACACACGCACTAGGGGACACAGGTGGAAACTGAGTGCCCAATTAAATGAGCCACAGAGATGTTAGAAAGAACTTCTTTAGTGTCAGTAGTTGACAAATGGAATGCATTAGGCAGTGATGTGGTGGAGGCTGACTCCATACAGTTTTAAATGTAGATATGATAGAACCCAATAGGCTCAGGAACCTGTACACCTGTTGATTGACAGTTGAGAGGCGGGACCAAAGAACCAAAGCTCAACCCTCGCAAGCACAAATAGGCGAGTATACACACACACAATCAATCCCGTTGATTGACAGTTGAGAGGTGGGACCAAAGAGCCAGAGCTCAACCCACGCAAGCACAAATAGGTGAGTGCACACCCACACACAGCTGGGCCTCACGGCTGAGTGGACAGCGCTCGGGATTCATAATCAAAAGGACCAGGAATCAATCCCCGGCGAGGGCGTAAACAAATGGGCAGAGTTTCTTTCACCCTGATCACCTAGCAGTAAATAGGTACCTGGGAGTTAGACAGCTGTTACGGACTGCTTCCTGGGGTGTGTGTGTGAAAAAAAGTTGATTGACAGTTGAGAGGCGGGCCGAAAGAGCCAGAGCTCAACCCCCGCCAACACAACTAGCTGAAATACACACACAGTTGGGCCTCGCGGCTGAGTGGACAGCGTTCGGGGGTCGTAGTCCTAATGACACAGGTTCGATTCCAGGAAGAGGTGGAAAGAAATGGGCAGTTACTTTCACCCTAGTGCCTCTGGTGACCTAGCAGTAAATAATAATAATGTATATTCAGGTAAAAGTACATACATTTTAAATGAGTTACAAGCAGAATATTGGCTTTATAGATAAAGCTAGTACATACTATGCCAAAAGGCACTAATACCCACAGCGTTTCGGGCAAGATGTGGGAAAAATTCTTAGACTAAAACTTAAAACCGAGAACAAAAGCATAAATTTAATTTAAAAAGTGAAAAAAAAACAAAAATAATGATAATTACATGATGGATGGAACAGAAATTGAAACATAAGGCAGAAGTCATTTTAACTAAAATAGAAGACTATAATTGTATTTAAGTTAATGCATAATTTCTTTTTTATACAAAAAATGACAAAAAATATAATATTAGGATACAAAAAATTGATTATTTCATTAAACACACAAATCCAATCTTTTCTTCTTGGAAATATAGTCTTACCCTTCCTTGTCTATGTCAAAATTTCAATTTTTAAGACATATATTATCCCGCTAACTCAGTACTAGACTATCAACGCGGCATGTAGCCTAGCGGCATGTGTGTCAGCAACCTCAGTCAACCCCCGTGGTTGGCAAGGCGTTATATTGTCAACTTTGCCATGCGCGCGTTAGTTGATGTTGGTGGGTGTTGGTGGGTGTTGGCAGGCGGGTATATGCTTTGGGTAAGCATGGCTGGACGGGCATGTGCATTGGACAAGTGTGGGTGGACGGGTATGTGCTTTGGGTAAGCATGGCTGGACGGGTATGTGCATTGGACAAGTGTGGGTGGACGGGTATGTGCATTGGGCAAGTGTGGGTGGACGGGTGCGTGTATTGTGTACTCACCTAGTTGTGTTTGCGGGGGTTGAGCTCTGGCTCTTTGGTCCCGCCTCTCAACCGTGTGGAGCGGCATGGATGAACAGCCGGAGTACTGGAGCTGTGAAGACTGTGGTGTAGTGTGAAGGATTTCGGGGAAGTAATTATCAAAAGAAAGCACCAAGCCGGGTAGGCTATGTCGCGAAGCTGGCATATGCGTTGGCTGGTGTTTCAGGTACCTGGGGTACCCAGGTACATTGAGGGTGGTACCTGCACATGCAAATTCCAATTGTTCAACGTAATTTTATCTACATGTGAATGCAGCTGCATCTTCAATTCAGTACGATCTCAGCCTTTCTAGTAGGCACAAAATCACATGTAACATTAATGCAATGTTAATTCAGTGCTGAATTAACGTTACACTTGGATACTGTGTCTTACCTTGAGGTGCTTCCGGGGCTTAGCGTCCCCGCGGCCCGGTCGTCGACCAGGCCTCCTGGTTGCTGGACTGATCAACCAGGCTGTTGGACGCGGCTGCTCGGAGGACGAAGATATGGTTTAGAATGAAAAGAATACCAAAGACAATGGTCAAGTGACGTTATCTTGAGATGATTTCGGGGCTTTAGTGTCCCCGCGGCCCGATCATTGACCAGGCCTCCACCCCCAGGAAGCAGCCCGTGACAGCTGACTAACACCCAGGTACCTATTTTACTGCTAGGTAACAGGGGCATAGGGTGAAAGAAACTCTGCCTATTGTTTCTCGCCGGCGCCCGGAATCGAACCCGGGACCACAGGACCACAAGTCCAGCGTGCTGTCCGCTCGGCCGACCGGCTCCCATCCTCCACTAACGTGGAGGATGTCATAGCAATGTTAGACCATCTAAGAATGCCCATGCAGTGTCTAATGGGCCCAATAGCCAAGTGTTACGTCAATTCAACGTTGATTAGACGTATCCCGCCAAACACACACCGAAACTACGACGTTGGTACAACGTTCGAACAAGTTTTAACACCTCCTAACCAGTTATAACAACCAATACAGCAAGTTGTAACAACGTTCTAATACGTCATAAACACGTTAAGTCAATATGTAACAACTTTATTACAAGTTGTAACAAGCGGAAAATAGAGACAGTTTCGGTTTGTGTTTCCAGGGATGGGGGAAAATAGTCCACTGTTATATAATATAGGATACTGTATGTAGGAATTATAGGCTAATAACCAAAAGCCGCTGATGCAAGGAATCGTTTGAGACTAACTCATCCTCCTTTTAGTACGTCGCATTTTGACGTATACTTAACCTAAGGCCAAAATTCGTTTTACTTAGAAAATGGTAGCGGCTCGCGAAATTGTCCCGTTTTCTGTTTTGGGTCCTCTGGTAGGTTAGGATAAGGGCACATTAGTATCCCAGTTTGTTGTCGTTGGGGACCCTTAGGAGGACGGGGCTGATGTCTATAAATAGTACAGGAGCACTGTGGCTCATATGGCTATATATAGACAACACTATAAGGCTTTCTCGAACTGCAATTACATTAGTATACAATATCATAAACGTCTGGAATAGCTCATAAAGGAGAAAATCCACATTTTTGTAATCAAAAACCATTCCTTCCCTCCGTCCCATCCCAAATCCTGACCGCTTCCCAGTCGTAATGGCTTGGCGCTTTCCCCCTGATAATTCCCCTCCCTCCTTTAAGGCTTTCTATATTTATTTGTTTACTTATGAAGATCTTTTAATAAAAAAATATAATCAATGTTAAACCAAGATAATATCTCAAAACGGGTCTTTAAATAATTATATAATAATATATTAATTAATTAAATTATAATTACTTTAAATAATTAGTTAAATAATTAACACAATTTATTAAAATAATAAGGAAATAGTGAGAA